AACAACAGTAAGTGTTGAGGATGTGAGGAAAAAGGTATACTCATACATTGCTGTGGGACTGCAAATTGATGCAACCACTATGGAAAGCAGTATGGAGATTCCTCAGAAAATTGGGAATGGGACCATTTGACCCAGGTATCCCAATCTTTGTTTATATCCAAAGGACTTAAAATCAGCATACTATAGTGACACAGCCACATAGATGTTTACAGCAGCTCAATTCATAATAGCTAGACTATAGAACCAATCTAGGTGTCACTCAATAGATGAATGGATAAAGAAAATGTGGTTCATATACTCAATAGAATATCACTCAGCTTTAAAAAAGAGTAAAAATTATGGCATTAGCCAGTAAATGGTTGGAGAATATCATGGTAAGTGAAATAAGCCAATCCCACAAAACCAAAGGCCAAATGTTTTCTCTAATATTCGGATGCTAATTCACAATAAGGCAGAGGTGGGGCACTAGGGAAGAATAGCTTTACCTTAGGTTAGGTAGAAGGAAGTGATGGGAAGGAAGGAGAGGGGATGTGGGGACAGGAAAGATATTACATTCTATCTATATATATCAAAGTGCATAAATACAGTCCATTGTCATATATAACTAATTAAAACAAATTTAAAAACTTTATAAAATAAATAATTCTAAGAAAATAAAGCTGAGATGTTCTGGTTGGATATAAAATAGCATCTCATGATTTTAATTTGCCTGATGAATAGTGATGTTGATATCTTTTCATATGCATAATAGCCATTTGGATATTCTTTTGTTCCCATTCTTTAAAAATATTTTTTTTTGTCTTAATTTGTTTATAATATGATCTTTATACCTTCTGGATAGAACTCCTTTGTCAAATGGATGGACAGATATTTATATTATCCTTGCCTGCAACTTTCTTCATTTTCCTACTGATATTTTTTAATAAGTTCTTAATTTCTATAAAGTCCAATTCCACCTCCCCCCCAAAAGGGGGGTCATCTCTATCTGTGTGAGGCTCAATTTCTGGTTCTAAATTTCTATCAAAGTGGCACCTTTCAACATAGCTCGGGTTTAGGAAAAATTCATTTTCTAGGAGTAATGCTTTTAGTAAGGACTAGCTATCTCTCTCTCCCACTTCTACAGATATGGCCTCCAACATAACAAATTCTATTTCCAAAAGTTTTATGTTTGATTTGGAACTCCTCAGCTTTGCATAAACTATACATCCAAACTCTTAGCTCATTCAAGAGAAACATAGCAGTTCAGCATCCAGGACAAAGTGAGTGCCATA